TACTCTCTCTCTCTCTCTCTCTCTCTCTCTCTCTCTCTCTCTCACACACACACACACACACACACACACACACACACACACACACACACACAACAATCAAAATGATACAACAGTAACAACACAACTAGAAAATAGGGTATACAAATAAACCCCAAATCAAGTTCAATGGCCTACTTGACATTAAATTCACAAGTATTTGGGCAAGGATCAAAAAGCTGTATAAATTAAATCCATACCTCTTCTTGCAAAAAGAGTTTTAATTTCATAGATTTCAGCTTGAAGAAGCTCTCACACAAAGCCTTCAGCTTCCCAACCTATAAGATTTGACTCAGTTACTCATCATCCATCAATTCAAATAAAATAAATAAAACAACGAAAAGATCTTAAATAGACATACAGTCGTGGTTGCTGGCAATTTCTTTGTTATGGATGGTCGCTCCCCCATGGATGCCCCAATGCACTTAAAGGTGATTGCTACACAATAGCAAAACCTATCAATCAGCTAGTTGATGTTAAAGGCACTTAGATACACACATGCATGCGCATGCACACATAAAAGTGTTTTTCTATGTTTGTGTGCATAATTTTCTGTTTATGAAAGGGATTGTTAACAAGGTCCCTGGGGGGGATGGGGAAAGAGAGAGTTTCTACAAATGTATGTAGTTAAGCGATCCTGAAATTTTGGTGAAAGGAGTTAACATCCTGTTTTTAAATACTCACAAAGAAGACTGGAAGCCATTTTCTGAAGGCCAGCATTTCCAGTTGATCGATCCATATACTCAATACCATGCCTGTCCTTAAGCTCAAAAAACCTGCAAAAATAACATTCGAACCCTAGGATTTAGCCCTTTGATTGTTTCACTGTTATCTTTCCACAAATTATCAATCTTTACTCATAAAAAATCACCATTCCGAGCTATCAAAAAAAGAATCACCATTTCCTATGACATTATGATAGGATGCGGCAGTTTTATGGAATGTTCAAATTGCAGAAACAATCCCATAGGTATTTTCTGACATGATACTATTCGCTGCACTCAATTGGAGTTATAAAACAGGGTTAAATGGAAAAAACACACAAATACGATTGAAATTGTTTAGAACCAAGCATCTGAAAACCTAAAAAATATCTTCTTTTATATTTGTAGTGCATTTTACGCATTTGAGGTACATTTTTTTAGCATTGGTCATAGATTGACCGCCCAGTAAGTGTAGATAATAACATTATTAAGACTTGGGTTGGTGCTAGGAAAAATGGCATATTTAAAGGAAAGTGCAGGTTTCAAGTTTCTACTCACCGAGGGTGCAGCCACCTAATCTCCTCTTGACCGAAGATATTCATTTTAGACATCACGAGACGAACATACCTGCAAGCAAAAGCTTTCAAATTAGCAACCAAAGAAAAGGCATGTCATAGAAATTACCATAAAGATATTTTCTGAGATACAAAGAAAAATACATGAGAGAGAGAGAGAGAGCGTGAGGGATAAAGAGCAACTTGGAAGGTGGATAATGCAAAGGATAAAGGGTCGTATAGAAAGTTAGAAATGTGTATATTTATATCTTCTCTCTATATAGGCTACTGGAAATTATGTCTGCTTCCATTACTGAATGAAATATCAGAGATAGAGAGATAAGAGCTTGAAACTAGAAAAAAATGGAAGAAACATATCACCCTGTTAGAAGAAAACTTACCGAATCTCAGAGTCCTTTCTTTCACGTGGGCTTACCTGGCAAGTGAACTTACATGAGTTAAAGGATTAACCATCCAAAAAACTGTTAAAGGAAATCAAACTCATTTGCTTTTATAATTGAGGAAAGGTAGAAAGGAAGGTACAAACTCATGCCATAAGTAAAAAGAAATTCCACCTCACTTCCATTAAGCACTGCAATCTTAGCTAAACGTCCAATCAAAACAAACCGAGGAAGACCACCACTGCTTGGATCAGCAATTGGGTTCCCAGACAGCCGAACGTCCTTCATGAAAGCAGTCAAGACTCAAAAAAATCATCAACACAAAAAGCATAACATTGCTATAAATCTCAAGCATATAAATGCATACGCTTACATTTTCAAGCACGAAAACAGAAGTTAAAAGATAACAGTAAAAGTGCACTTACCACAAGACTTGGGAACTTATTCAGCGAATCCACAGATGAGAAATCATTGATCTTGTTATCCCCTAGTGTTTAAGCATGCCACTTACCAAATTATTGCAAATTAGAAGGTAAATATAAGACCAATAAGTAACCCTTGAACAAGCATGCACAACCAGAGATATAGGTTTCCAACAAAATCACCTAGAAGAAGGCAACCCAGATTTTCAAATGGCTTGAAACTACTGTCTTGAGGTTCGCATGCACAAATTGAATCATCAATTGAAACAAAATCAGGGTAATATATGTCCTTTAAGCTGTTCTTGTTCAGATGAAGCTGCTCCAAGCTGAATCCAACAAATTATACATAATCTTGTCAAAATAAATATTGTTTACAGGCATGTCAGTCTCCTAATTAACAACTTTAAAAAGAGAACAAATATATATATATATACCTTCTTAGTTGGGAAAGCTTGAGAACCGCATCCCATGTATTTATACAGTTATCTTCCAAGTTTAAAATCCTCAAAGAATCAAAACCTTGGACCTTTTTGCCTGTTGAGAGCTGTAAGGCACACATGAATGCAGTAATTCATTAATTGCTGTCAAAACATACTTTTTTTTTTAATAACTAAACAACATAAGAGAGTTGTTGCATGATAAATGCCATAAAATGAACAACAGAACATAGTTAAAAACATGCAAATTCAGTGGATATTGCTATTTCAATGCAAGTCAGCTACACCCTGGTTTTGGCAAGTGAAGGAATGGCAGCCTAGATTGGTTCTTATGGTTAGTCTAAGTGGACAGGTGGTCTGATAACTCAAGCGTCCTGTCTAACATAATGCACCCTGATTTGGGGTCGTCTGCTCACATGTCACAAGTGGGTGCATTTTGGTATTTTAGCTCCACTTAAGTGAGCTGACCAAAAGATGTAAATACCTTCGCTTGTTTTGGTCCATGTCCCAAACCTAGAACAAGACAAACATATTCCAACACTAGAACCTAGAACAAGCAGGGGATTTATATCATTAGGTTCGTGTTAGTTAGGCATCCAAATTACTAAAATAGCCTCATTTGTACAAAGTTCCATACCCAGAACAGGGGCAGTTTTGGCATTTTCTAACCAAACAATGGAGGAGCTACCTAAGTGAAATATGAAATTAGTTTTACCAAATCACCACATTGATTTTTTGAGGTGGTTTTGACCATTTTATTGATATTTTCTGGTATTGTTATTTATAAGAAGTGCAAAGTCTGCTCCTTGGAAGCAGCTTTTAGTAGGTTCCTCCATCCACTTAGCTTACAAATGGACAGTGCAGATTTGACTAGAGCTATGGCTTTTGTCTCCCTTACTATCATGGTTACTGCCATCATGGCGGTGCAACTTCCATATGTAATGGACAGAAGAGTAGGGAATGGAGAGCATGCTGTAATTTCCCTTCAACGCTTATTCATGGTGAGAAGAGAGGCTAGGTAAGATGACAATGGGGTTAGTTGCTGAGGGAATGTTGCATATACAGCTATGACTTCTATGAATAAAACGTTTAACTATGAATGCAAAGGACACTATATTTCCAGCCAATAGTTCAATTCAAGGTACCGGGACTTTGGCCAAGGTACTTGTCCATTGGCTGAGGCGAGTTACTCAGGCAGGTCCCAGTAAGTCGCTTGAATCCAGCCTGTGTTAAAAATGAAAAGAAAAAGAAAAAGAATATATATATATATATAGGGATATTCTAAACTTCACAACGCTTTCAAATTACAAAGGTTCAACATAAAGAGAGTTGTGAAGGATGGATTTATTAATTTTGTTATCTTACTTTTTAAAAAAAGTTACTTTTGTGGGGCAAATTTGTAAATATTACTACAAGACAAAGGGTATTTTTGTTATCTCCATAAGGGGTAAGGTTGAAATTTTAACTAAAGTACAAAGGCACTTTACAAACAAAGTTTCAAGACACTAACTTCCAAAATGCCATTATACTTTTGTGAAAATTTCAAATTTGCCTTTACTTGATAGTAAAGTAACCTATTTAAACAATTTTTTAATAAAAGAGTAATAATTGTTTTGATAAATACACCCATCACAACCCCTTCTCACTTGAACCTTTGTATTTTGAGAGGTTGTTAACTCTAGAAAAACCCATATATATATATATATATATATATATATATATATAATAAACTAA